CAGCATTAATAGTAGTTTTCCAAAAAACAAAACAAAGAACCTAAAATTTTCAAACAAACTTCAATGCGAAGATGGAAAAAAAAAAAAAGATTACCCATATGGCATAGCACTAACACTAAGTGTGACCCCCCCCCCTAAAACCAACGATATTTATTCTTAAAACTGGTTTCAACTCCACTTTCAGGTCGGTAGTTTAAAAAAAAAAAATCTGGTGGTGACCTTACAACAGTACATGGAGCTGAAATGCACCATAAAAAAAGTTGTCAATCAGATTTTGCAACCTTCTTTCTCCAAATCATGGATAGCGTCTTCTTCTCTGTGTTTAAAGTAAGGAAGAGCCCGGAATTTTAATTTGTTTAAAAATTAAAATAAACTTCAGCCTTCGTCCGGTAGCTTATTCAGATTGTAAAGTATTTCACCTGCACCGATTGTAATACCGTCGTGGAACCAATCAGTAACTTTTAAAAATCCAATTGGCAGAAAGGCGACAAGTGTGACGTATATAGATTTTTGTAAGTTTCAGGTGTGTGTATGCGCGCATGAATGCTTAAACAGACAGCCAAGAGTTTAACAGTTAGTATTTTTGAAATTCATTGTTTTCTTAAATCAACAATAAATAATAATTGTTGTTTTGTTTGATCATGAAACAGGTAATTTATTTTTATCTTTACTCCGTAAGTAAAACTGAATTTTTAACATTTTCTTTAAGAACTTAAACTTATGACTAAGGTTGTTAGACAGTTAAATTATATCTTTTTAAAAAAAATAAACTACACACAGCATTAGTTGCTCAATAATGAGCGAAATGTGTAATAAATTATATTCAATACACACACACAAGTTTTCCACTACAAAATACTTTCAGATACTTGTCAATGGAAACCCAGGAAGAATGACTGACAGTTGACATTACGATAGTTCTGTGATTGAAACACTAGTAGCTGAAGCTTAAATTTTCTTGGACACTGAACGGAGAAAAAAAATTAAGTTACTTAAGTAGTTAGAGAAATAAATATTTTTTTTGTAGTATTTTTCTTTTTTTATGCAAGTTATTGATTAGGTTTTGGATAAATTACTTTTTCTAAAACAGCAGAAAGGATGCTTAATGAAAGTTTTTAATTTAAGCGCCTTTTTCTGCAATTTTTTTTCTCTGTTTTACTTTAACACTTTATGAAAGAAGAATAAACTTTTATTTTTGCTCTATTTTCGAATAAGGCAGACGCGGAATTCAAGCGAAAACCTAATATACGGTTCAAAGTTCAAGACTCAACAAAAGAATTACCTGTTCATAAAATTCTTTGTGGTAATGAAAGCGAAGATAGTTTCACAATTTTACCAGTTTCATTAAAACAAATCTATTAAAAAAAAATATTACTCTTGTTGACTTAACCTTTACTCCAGCTGATACCACACCTTCGCGGATTATTTTTTTGGCTGTTCTATTTCTTAAGCAATTATTAGACATCGAGTCGTAATCTTTGAAATTAGGCGGCTAGAAAGCCATTTCTAACTACATTTAACTTTTAAAAAGTTAAAAATTTTTTTAGACACATGTCACACAGCCTGATCAAAGTAATTATTATGGTAGGTAACGATAAACTGGTTTCTAAAACAAATTTCATCTATTTAAATAAAATCGATTTTGGTGACTTTTTTTTCGTAAAAAAGATAAGTTCAAAAATGAGTTCCACGTACAAAAACATTTATGAAAGTAAAAAAAAAAAAAAAAATCTTTAAAAGAAATCCTTACGCGTTGTTAATTGACTTCTACGTGGGTCGAGGGTGAAAAGTTTTCAACCCACAAAATCTGACCAAATATCAGAATTTATTTTCGAAAGTCTTACTGGTCGGGTCGAGAACTTTTTTGTCGCAGCAGGAAGTTTTGTTTTTCTTTCAGTTGCATGCATACACACACTTTTTTTCTTTCTTTTTTTCTCAATCAAAGAGAAGAAACTCCTGTTTTCAGGGATGATTAGATAGCAGCAGTGTATTGGAAAAGTAAAAAACTTATGAAAGATTACCAACACAAATTATACCTGAAGTTTTATTGTCTAAAAACTTTTTAAAGAATGGGTTAAATGAGAGAGTCACCATTCTGAATCATTTTTGACATGTATAAAATTTTAAATACTGCAAAAAAAAAAAAAAAACTACAGCAAACAAAAAAAACAAAAAAAGTATGCAAATATTTTTTTCTCTATAATTTTTGAAAGTAAAGTTTATCAATGCAATTTTGAACGTACAATGTTCTCGAAATTAACTTAAGAGACCAAAATCACAACTTTGATTCAAATGAAGTGAAGTTCGTACAATTTTTTTACTATTTTACATCTCATCTTTGCAATTTTATTTTATTTTTTTAAAACATTTATTTCACCAGTAAAAAAGTAAATATTGCTGGTTCTTAAAAACTCAAAAAAAAAAAACAAACTTCGACAATAATTGAATTGAATGGGATTCCGATTATTACAGTAATAATTATACAACACTTACTTTTTTGATTTTTCCTGATGTCGGGAAGAGAGTAGAATTATTGTAATAATATTTCCTTAAACAAAAATTGGTTAAAAATAAAAAAAAACAAACAAAAAAAAACAACTTTTTTCACCCTCACAAAATGCAATAAGTGACCACTGATCAGAAAACTGGATTATTATTTGGAAGGTCACTCAAAATGTTTCCTAAGAAATGAACCTGTTAGTCTTATAATTTATAAACTTTAAGTTTGTAAAATAAAAGCTTTTAAAAAGGTGTAAAATGATCGAGACCCCCTTTTTAATCATCATCACAGATGTCGGAACATACATTTTATTTTTGTTTGAGTTTGTTGACTTATGCTTTTATAATCGGCGCGTGATTTAAAAACAAAAATTGTTGAAAAAGATTTTTTTTTAATTAAAAAAAGATAGCATAGATGTTCTTTTATGCAAGTGAAATTTATTGTTTTTTCCCTGATTAGCATCATGTTAATTTCTCTGAAATAAAACTAAAAGTAATCACGCCAAAATTCAAAGTTAAATAATCTAAAATTAAAAAAAACATTTTTAAAACCATTTAAACAGTGTGCACCGAAAGTTAGAAACAAAATGAAATTTCAAATCTAAAGTAATACAGGTGTTGTAAAGCTTAAAAAAGTAAATGTGCAAAAAATAATTATTCTCAAGTCCTAATTTAATTAAAAATGAATTTTAACATCAATTAAACTTTCACACATTGTTAGTTTCGTTTCCATGGAAACAAACAATGGCGGCATCGTTAATGATACCGGGTGCCTGAAAACTTGAAATAAAAATAAAATCAGATAAAAATATTATAAATGGTTGAGTTGATGTTATTTTATCTCTTCAGATAAGCCAAGGAAAACTTTTTAAAGAATTTTTTTCATGAAAACTTCGAGTACCACACAAATACTCTCAAAACGCGTAACACGTAAGAAAAGTTATCTAACTCTTAACTTTTCAAATGCTTTTTTTACAGTTTTGTTAAAGTGGATAAGCAAATGAAAACTGATAGTATAAAAAAGCAAAATACAAAATGGCAAGTGGGAATTTGTGAATGAAAAAGTTAGCTTGTGGCCGGCAGACAAAACACGGCTCCAAGCAACTGTAAACAAACCTGAATCTCGTCTGTCGGCCATTTTGTGTGTCCCACAATGCATTTCTGTTGGTCGACTGCTTTGCGGAGATGATGATAAATGTAAAATTAAAATTTTTCGCACAAAACGTCTCAAGAATAAAATCACTCAAAAGTAAATATGAACATAAAGTTCTAAAAGTAAAAGATAATTTGCTTTGTAAAATACTAAGTCATTTTGAATGTAATCTTTTGCTAAAAAAGATCATCAGAGTTCCTTAAAAATCGTTTTTTGTTTGCGTATTTTAATTTAATTAATAATTTGTAGATAATAAATTTGATACAGGCCAAAAATGGTTCTTGGCGTCTTTCTACTGGCTTAACAAATAATAACAAAACAGGAAACTTATTTGAATGAGCTCATAGTAAAATGAATTCATTCATACTAGTAATTTAGTGACTATGCATTTTTAATTTCATCTTTATTTTTGAATGTAAAAAAAAAAAAAAATAACATGAGACAATGAATGGCATCTTGTTTTTAAGTTGAAGCATATTTTTATTTGCATTGGTGATGGATAAGCTTCAATTTTGAATTAAAATATTGCCTAAGCAGTGAATGTCCTTTAAAGAACGAACGGTCTTTGAAATTGTTTTTCTTTATTCATCCGGTTAAATTACATAATTGTTTCAAGAAAGAATAGAGACTTAAAAAAAAAAAAGGAAATGGGAACACTGCTTCTTTACTCTAGTTACTAGAGTCTAGTATTAAGTGCCGTTTAAAAAGCAATTGCTGTTTTAATTATGTAAATTAAATTACTCGTGTAAAAATTCTAAGATTGTTTTTGTTATGAAAAAATGTGACGTGCGTGTGTGAATGAAACTGAAATAGGGAGGGGGAGTTGCATTTTATAAAAGAAAAAAAAATGTACCTTATATTTTTTTACGTATTTAAATTTTTTGTGAACTGGGTTTAGTTTAAGTTTATTTGCATATAAATCCCTGTATCAGCCGTCACAAGTACGCACGACGATTGGGATATAACTCATATTGGCTATGAAAAATTAAAATTGTACTTTTTGCAATGCAAATAAGTTTTGGATTTGTTTCTGCATATGCAAATTAGTGTGTACGTAAAAATTATAAGTTTCATGTGAAATTTAAAATAAAAAAAAGAAGAAAACAGCTCATAGGCATACGTTAACGAGGTGTGTAACTAAATTTTACCCTTATGTGGAGAATTGTTAGACACGTGTGTGTGGATGTGTTCGTCTGTAAAAATGGTAATATTTCTTTTTCACGATCGTAAAAAAAAATAAATCTATTTCGTAATAGATTTGTAATACACACCTATATTCCCTATTTCGCTCGTTAAGGACTCATTTTGTGAAACCACTGCTATACTGTACGAATGAAGCATAGGAAATATGCCCCGGGCGCCTACTGTCAACACATCTCGTAAGCCATTGTTAGTGAGATCCTCGCTAGGCATCCCACTACTGCAGCCCTGTGCCAAAGTATAGACAACGTCCATCTGAACTAAGGTCCTATGACGAAGCTTTAGGTACTTAGGACGCATATGTAGTGTACGCTCCATTGTGTATGCACGCGCGCAATTTGGCCGATCGGTGAAGCAATCATCAGACAACAAATTTTATAGTATCATAATTGCCACTTTTGTTCCTTATTTTTTTTACTCATTCATTCAAATTTAAAACTCAAGCGATTTGTTGTCATGAATAAAAAGTGAAGTAGATCGGATGTTTATTATTATTGCTACAATTTAAATTTGTAATAATCCAATTTATAATTTCTAAAGCATGATTTTTATCTAGATACCTCGAGAGAGAAAAAAAGATATTCAACAGATCATTTTTTTTCTCGCTCTGCTCTTTAACAATTTTTGGGTAATTATGAAATTGATTTTCTACGTGACCTTTGGTACAAAGACCTTGTTAATCAACAAATTGTTTATTTTGTCTTGTTTTCTTAGCTGTAACTTTTTTTTTCTTTACATAAAAATAAAATATACTTTTTAATAATGAAATTGAGGTACCCCCACCCGCGAAAGAGAAAGACAATGTGAGCTATTGAGAACTTGAGGAAGGCCGAAGTTTATCCTTAACTTATTACTCTCTAAATTAAACACTCGACAGTAAATTCTATCAAACCATGAAAGGGATTTCATATGTACATAACAAAAAGGGTTTTTCCAAGGTTAAGAAACTTACTTCCGGAATATAAGCCAACATAGTTGGGAAGGAGGATATTCTATAAACAAATTACAAACTCTTTAAAAATACTACTGACTACTCCAAGGATGACATGTGTTGCTAAGTTCAGATATTACGAAAAACAGCAGGGTGGGGGGTTTTTTTTTTTTTTACCTGCCCAGTCAACTTCCAATTTAATGTGGGTTCGTTTTAAAAACTGAGCAAAATTTACTTCGTCAGAGCTTCCATATATTAACTCCAATCTCTTAGTATTCTTTTGTTGGACAGTGCTTAAATTTACAAATAAATAGTTCAAAGCTTAAATTTATAAACTGAATAAAATCGCATGAGAAAATAGTTTCCTTTGTTTCTTCTGCATATTTTCCACATTTTTTTTAAGTGACTGCACTTTTTTTCCTTGATCTCAATCGAAGAAATTGAATGACGATATAGCTCTCTTTTTCTCCTATGATTACTTTCGCCGGTAATGGAAAAATTGACACAAAGAGTGCACTGTAATAAAATATATTTTAAAATTAAAAATAAGCATAATTATTCCGGGTTTTAAATCAAATTCTTTGTTATTCTATCGAAACACTGGTAAAAAAAAATCGAAGCAGCAAGAAAATAAACTCAGATTAATAATTTTAATTTTCGAACAAAAACATCAACCAAACATGTTATTTCTTTTCTTAAGTATAAATAAATCATTTTTTAAAAACTGTGAAAATTGTATTTAAAGAAGTTTGAACCCCGAATTCAGATTGATAATGTTACCTTTACGCGAGGAAAAGGCCGTCTAGAATTATTATTACTACGAAGGCGATACAACATAGTTTTGTTGTGGCCAGAAAATAGTCCAGATAAAATATCCCATTTTTTATCATAAAATTGTCACTTAAATAGTATTTTTTTCATTTTGATTTAAATTAATATTGATTTTCTTTTTGGTTGTTGATATTAGAAGCAAGAATTGTTTTGTGGTTTGTCGTAAAAGAAAAGCCGAAAAAAGTAGTGCTGTGGTCCTGTTCTCACATTGGCTGCTGCTGGTGCCATTCATTATTTGGGTTGGGATCATTGCAGCGTCAACTTCTTGTCCTTCTCTCTCGTCTCTTCTAAGGCTGTTGATAAGCCGGTTTTGTTTTTTCGTTTATTTCTACTTTTCCCCTTGTATTGTTTTTTATTTTCTTTTGTTTGTTGTGTTACTGTATTATTATTTCTTTTTTTTATTTTCACTCTTTCTTGTGTAAAAATTTCTTATTTCTATCGAAACCCCTAACTCTTTCCTACTGTTTTTCCGCATTTTTACTGTTATTTTCTTCTCTTTGACGTAATTCTAAATTTCGTCAGTATTTGGCGAATCACTTATACTTTCTAGAAAAAATTTACTGAATAAGGCTGTGTTCTAGTTAGTGCATTTTGACGTGATATCTTACCATCTGAAGGCATACTCTCAACAACAACTACTACTACTATTGCTGCTGTTAACAGCGGGAGCAGTCGTTCACTTTTTTGACACCAAAAACCGGGAGATTTTTTAAGGAGAAAAATCACTTAAAGAAAATCGACAAGGAGACATATTTTTATATATATATATATAGATATACATATCTATATATATCTCTCTCTATATATATATATATATATATATATATAGATAGATATATATATAAACCCTCCCCCCACCTGCCCCACCAAAAAGACGCTGCCACTTGGTCTCCTTTCTTCTTTTTTTTTTTTTTTCTTTTACTTCGGCCACGCGCTTCCTCCTCATCCTCTCTGCCACGCGCTCACTGTTTATTTCCTCTCACTCAGACCCAGCTTCCTCTTTTTTTCTTCTTCTTCCTTATCGGCACACTTTATTCTCCCTCTCTTAATTCTTTTCTGCACCCTCCTCCTTCCTCAAAGCCCGACACGCGCTGCTGTCCTCTCCCCCTTCTTCAAAATCTCTGCCTCCTACTCTTTGCCACACGCCCGCCACGCTTCCTCCTCCCCTTGCATTATTTTTATCTCCTCCTCTCACTACTCTTTCCTATCAATACCAACGCCATTTTCTTTGTACTCAGCAAAATATAATCAATAGTTTGCACCATACTCTTAATATTTTGTATACGGAAACGCTGACGTCGCTTCCATAAGTTCATATTTTTCGGACGTTACTTACTACATTCTGGAATCCCTAAAAACCAGGTGAGTTCTTTTATTGCTTTCCCTCTTTCGTGCTCGACCCGTGCACCTTTTCTTCGCTTACCAACATTTAAGTGAAAGAGAAAGTATAGAATTTTTCATGTACGCGTGTCTGCCTCTTGCACACACGCTGAGGTTATCTATATTGATGATATGCTGCAGTGATTCATCAATTTGTACATTTCCTTTGATGTTTTATTTATTTGTAATATTTATATAGCCAGTAGTAAAATTATTCTTCTTTTAAAAATATTCATTGCTGTACCCGGCCGATATATTTCAGGACGTCCGTTTACGTGGCGTAGCTTCATTCAAATGCTTCGTTTTTGCAGATTTTTTTTTTTTTTTTTTTTTTTTTTTTGATTTAAAAGCAAAAGATTATGTAATTTTCTTTTTTAATATAAAAAAAAAATTGAATTTGGGACACAATTCTTTGAAGCTATCTGTTTAATTTTAACTGCATTTTCATATTTAAACTTTATGGACGTTTATTGTCAAAGCTAGCAGTTAGATCAAGATTCTATTTCGGTAGCCATTGGCATTCTAATATTTGTGTTCGTCAGAATTTATGTTCGACTTAAAGTAAATCTTAGTTTTATTCCTGAACTCACATTTTTATCCTATCAGTAGTGAATTCGAGCACTCCTTTCACAAAATATTTCCTATTGCAAAGTCGTTAACATTACACTCCATATCTTGAAGTTTTCTTTAAGGTATTTTTATTAATTCATGTCGTGTCGACATCTTGTTAAATTTCTTCCGTGGAATATTTAATCAGCTCGCAAATGACGAATCAAATGTGATATTTTTATACGAGTGATAATCTGCATTTTAACTCTTGAATGAAAAACAGACAAAACGCACTTTCGTCTTTTGTGAAAAATGAGAGAAATAGAAAAGACAGTTGCCGTCAAATTGCTGCTGCGCGATAAAACATGGCAGGTTTATTTCGAGTAACTCCTTGCAATTAAGTTTTCAAAATATAGTATCTGTATGGTTCTTATTTTCCTTCTATGTTGTAATGATAAATTATCTTTGAAATGAGTGAAACCTAAAATATAGCTCATAAATGTCGGTCATGTTTGTTGCCATGGTTATGATGTTGTAATCCCTTTTTTCCTAAGCAAGTGACTACGATCATCTTCACATTGCACTGTTAAATCTTCTTATGCAATTGTGTTTATAAACTATCCTCTAATTTTAATTGCATATAGATGACTTATTTCCGGCTTTAATGTCTGTATTATTCCTTATTAAACAATCGCATTTTTCGTTGTTACTTTTTTTATAATTTTCTCAATATCTTAGCAACAATATTTTTTTCTAATTTACTCCATTCACTGTAAATTGATTATCTTCATCAGATAAATCAGCCCATCTTTAAACGATGTAGTATTCAATCTTCTGGAAAGTCTTTTGTTTTGATAATATTCAATGTAATCCAGCATGGTAACAGTTCATCAGGTTGTTATATTCCTATAAAATTTCGATAACTTAGTTATAAATAATACGGAAATTTTTCATAGGAATATTTAAACAAAGTTTTAGGGGGTTTTTTTTTATCTTGGTTCGCAAAACTAGCTATAATTACATTAAATCACAAACTAATGAATGAAATAAAAGTTCAGTCTATATTTGTAGGTTTTTACTTTATGTAAAATTAACAAAATGCACTCACGTAAATGCATTATTAATATAATAATCATGTTCTTCTGGCTTGGTTATCTTCTTCCACAGCTCCCATTATGCCTTTTACTGGCATCTTTGTTTTTTTGTTTTTTTTGCTATTTTAGCGAAACCTCTTCTAATTGCATTATCCTCATCGTTTAATTCAAATTGACAATTTTAAGTGCTATCACAATTCTGAGATATTGATAATGTTACCACAATTTTAAGTTCAGCTTTATTGTTTGATAATTCACTGTATAACTAACTGTATTTTGAGCAGAGTTATCAACTTTTTGTTTGAAACTCTTAATTAGCTTTCTGCAAATATTCATTATTTACTTTAGTTTACAAACATAACGTTAATTTTTATCAATAGACTACTAGGCGACTATTTTCATAACGCTTCTGTTTTACATTTTTTAATTTCTTCCTTAAAGTAAAAATCCTATTCTGTTCCAATGTGCATTGGTAAAACACAAGATTCCACTGTTTTTTGTTTGTTTGTGTCTGACCCGGTGTGACGGGGTCTTTTTTTTTTTTTTTTTTTTTTTTTTTGTTATGACCCCTAAAAATGGAAGTGATGGGTTTCCGTTTGCCTATAGTGCTGATATAGACCTCGTAACGTTTTAAATTTGATTTAATTTCTTAGCGTTTGCTTTGATTATATTTAAAATGAAATGATTTTTAGAATTAACTTATGAATTTGTAAATAAATTCATTGACTAGGCCGGCAAATTCTGTTGTAGATTCTCATTAAAAAAATATATATTTTTTTATTTTACTTGTCATTAGTTTTTGTTGTTTTTTTTGGTTTTTTTTTTATAAGTGGTAAGTTATTTTTTGTCTTGGTGATTGATTCAATATATCAGCTGCTTTTTGGTTAACATCTTTTAAAAGCTTTCTATTACAATTACATAATGTACTCGTGAAATCAACAGGTAATCGATAATTGCTTGAAATAAATAAGGCTTATTTTTCTTTTTCTTAATCCACTTTTATTCATATTTCGCTTTGTAAAATAAAAATAAGCTTATGTGCTGCTCGTCGTGTTTGAATGTAGTAGTTGTATTGCTCCCCTTTGCTGCTGCAGCCGTCGTTCAACAAGACTAATAATGTAGTTGCGATGATGCTTAGCTTTGTAGTGGTTAGTCTTCATATCTTCTATTTGCACTTCTCTCTTTCAATCATGTACGTAGTAGTTAGTAGAAAAAGAAAGCAGTTAGTCGAAAATGTGTGCCCGTAGTCAGTCAGGCATAGGTCGCTGCGCCTCTCTTTCCTCCTCCCCTTTTTCCAATATCGATGTTACTGTTGTCGACGATAGTGTCGATGATGCTGATGCTAGCAGCGCCGGTTTGGAAAAGAGTTGCAGGATGAGGATGAGATGATAATGAAGCAGGTTTTCATTGGTTCCCAGTTTCTTTAGAGCAGTTTTCTCGTCGACGCATTCTCGTGAGGTATTTATTGAGGTCATTGCTAGTGTTGTCATTCATTCAATTATTGATTCCTCTCCTCATCAGCTTCATCTTCTCTTACTGACTGCACTACTACTACTACTAACCAGAGTAGTAAGAAAACTGCGCGTGCTTGCCTGCCTAGATTTCTTTCAGTCTTACTCTTCCTTGCAGTCATCATAGTGATAGGCTCGCTCGCCACAAACGGATAATTTTTTACCAAATGCAGGTTCGTCCCTCATGGACTAGGCATTTTTTTTCTCCTCTCACTTCATATCTTGGCGTTAGTGTTGATGACTAGTAAAACGCATACTTATCTTCTTTTTTTTTTATACGGCTATCTCCACTTTTATTAAGCTTTTTTTCATTTCTTTCTATTGGTCTCTGACTTCTCATCTTCATACCATCTCGATGCCGAACTTAAACATTAAAACGTTGTTACATTTAGCACTTTTCATACTATTCTAGTTTTCTTAATTCTAATTTGATAGTTGAAGCTTCCGTATATCTTTCTCTCCCTTCGGTCGTTCTTTTCGCAACAGATTGCCTTTATTTTTGTCACTCTACTACTGAATCCATTGTCTTGTAACGCCATCTTCCCCGTAACCATTCTTTTCCTTACATTCCGCAATCTTTATGTATGTTTGAAGACTGATATTTTATGAAATATTTTTCCTTTCCTTTCAGATTACAAAAGGGGATACAATTATGGATTCACAAATCATACAGCAAAATGGTGGTAACCATTCACCAATATCAACAGGAACGCAGATGGATGATAGAGATAATGTAAGCAAGACAAACTTAATTGTCAACTATCTTCCACAAACAATGACTCAGGAGGAAATACGTTCGCTGTTTGCTAGCATTGGAGAAGTGGAGAGCTGCAAATTAATCAGAGATAAACCAACAGGTAAGAATTTTCTTTCTAACCCGATCATACCGTTGCAAGTTTGTATACCAAAGTTTTACTGTTTTTTGCTATCTTTTTGGAGAGAAAAATCGCAAGTTTTCACTTTTCAGTTATTTCTTTTTGGTTTGGGCTTAAAAAAAAATTGTTCATTGTGCTCTCTTGAGTCTTGACTGAATCAGAACTTTTAATTTTCGGTTTAATTGGAAAATGCATAGTTAATAATTTTTTTTTGTTTGTCGGACACAGCTGTTATCTTTCTGTTTAATCCTGCAGATAATGCCTTTGTATGGCATAGTTTAAATTAAACCACAAATATTTATTACTGATATTTTTGGAACATCGATTTCACTGCTTTTAAAAGCTTTTTTCTCTTAAATTGGATTTTTTTTTTTATTTATAGAAAATATCAAAGATTAAAACGTTTTTTAAATGAATGAAAATGGTTTTAAACAGCTGTACATTTTTCTCTATTATGGCTTAAGAATTTATCAAATTTGCTTGATCTGGCACTTTTCTTTGAAACTGATTGCGGCTTAGTGAAAAAATCACTATAAAAAAAATCTTTACAGCAAGAAATAATTTTGGCTGTTCTTAACCAACCGAGAATATCCCTATCGTCCAAGTTTAAATAAAATCGGCAGCCTTCATCTCACAAAGGCTGACTTAAAAACGACATAGTTAAAATATTGCTTTCTTAAGCAGCGCCCATTGAAATAATATTGGTAGGTAGTTTGTGATCAGGAAGTACAAAAGCGAAATAAAGCTTTTGAGTCCACCTGTCTTAGCTGAAGTAAGAAGACTGAACAAATGAAATGGGATGACCTCGTTTCATACAATTAGTCTACCCGCATGGAACAGTTGGTGCACACACGCACGGGCATGTGTTGAAAGATCTTTCTCTCTAGTGTTTTTTTTAATTTTAATAATTTTTATAAGAGGATAACTTAATTGATATATTTTTTCTCACTTTTCCCTTAAATGTCAACTTTTTTTTTCTTTTTTTGTTTTAAAATCACTAAGAATATAGCTTTATCTTTCGGTGTAAATTAGTCCCGTTGCTTTCATTATTAAATAAAATAAATAAATCTAATGAAAGTTAAAAATAAAATGTAATACCGTTTAAAAAAAATATTACTAGTATAAAATTAGTGTTCTAGACTGCGTTTATAATTCCATCTACTTGTTGCTGTGATGGATTTTTTTCATATAAACGAAACCTAATAATGATATCCAAATGAAATTGAATTAATTAATTTTACAAAGTTTTGTTTTCAAAAATTATTTACAATTGAAAATGTGAAATCTTCAAAATTCTCTCGTGAAATGGGAACTAAATTCTATCGGATAAAAGTTTACTATGCCTGTTAAAAAAAAAACCGCATAAGCTTTTTTGATGATCTCTACTACAACAGCTTGGCTTAAATTCCAATTTCTGTTTTATTATCGATCATTTGATTATTATTTTTCTTTTAATTAGCTACATTTAATTGAATTATTATTTAAAGTAATACAGTAAAATTGTCTATCCGAGTCGTGTTCGGAGTTTACAATCACTTTCAAAATTTTAATTATTCAATATTTTATAGAGGTGACTTCAGAAATGTAGTTTGCCACTGGCTCCCCTCCCCACCAAGGTTTTGTTAAAATATTTTAATTTTTTGCTCTTGCCTAATTCTGGTTTAAGCTACCCCTACTTAATACTCTAGTGAACCCTGAAGAATCCTTACAGATTGCAAGATTATTCTATTTCTTCCTTTTTAGTTTGATCTCATTCTATTTTGTCATGCTACTTTCACTTTTACTTTATCGCTTGAAGATATTTTCGTTTCCATTTATGAACTACTCTCTAGTTTGAATCTTATTAAATAATTTCTTCTTCCTTTGCTACTAAGATTGCTATTTAGCTAGATTTACGTAAAACTTTTTATTTTGAAACCCGCATCGTAGAGGGATCTTGTTTGCAGTGGTATAAAGAAATATTTTATAATTCAAATTCAGAATTAACATAATTCTTATTTCTTTTTTCTTTTTTTTTTTTTTTTTTTTTTTCTTTTTTCTGTGTAATAAGTTGTTCAGACTATTGTTTCCTTACCTTGTGTTGTCGAATAGTTAACTACAAGCAAAGGAACTTTTTTTTTATCTAACAAAATAAATTATCCAGTTAATTTTATTTTTATTCGATTATAATTTGATTTTTCTTTCAGACACTAGCCTTTCGCACAACTCTAACTGCATTTATTTTTCTTTATAGATTTAACTTAAATCTAAAATATCTTGTATCATTTTATTTCATGACATATGTAGTGCAACTGCGTTTCATGATTATGAATTTAAAAATATTGTTTAACAAAGTAAAGAATCTTTATATATTTTTGTGCACTATCTGATAAGATCACCAAGAAATTTCAGCTATTATTGCTTTTTATTTATGAAAGCTTTGCTAAATATTCTGTTCTGTGGTTGTAATAAGCACTTCGTTGCCAAGGTAAAGTTTCCATAACTAATAAATTGTGGCATATATTCATTCAAGGGATAATTTTTTTTTTTTTTTTTTTTTGAGATTTGATTTGGAAGCAACTTTACCAAATTAACGATAAAACAAATACTATTATTTGATATGGAATTGTAGAGTAAAAAGTAATCGAACTGTTAATTCAGTTGATCACTTTTATTTATTATTAGTTGATTTTTTTTATTTTGGCATTCAAATTCAACCAATGATCTAATTGGCCATATAATGAGAGGGAGGCGATTTTATATAAGTGTTGAATTCAGTTTTAGGTTAAGAAGCTACTGAAAGTTGTGGATGAAGGATTAAGTTTAATTTTTTTTTCTTGAGAGCGGAAACTGGGAAAATAATTTTCCTTTTGAATTATCACTTTAATTACCCAATCTAGACTTCGGAAGAAAACGACTTCAGCGCTTAAAACCCACGTTTTCTGACTTTTTTCTCCTCAGGAAACTTTCTCAGCAGCGTTCCATCCAAGGGAAGTACGTACTTATAATTTCTGCCTTATTTTAACATTATTTTGTCTTGTGAATAATTGGGTAGTTTGTGGTATTTTTTTTGTGTTTTGTTACTGTTTGTCTATTTTTATGGATTAAAAATTTTGCCTTATTTTACCCAACTAGTTTGAAGCTAAAAATCATGTCAACAACAGCTTTCATAAGGAAGAATTTAAAATTGTCCAATTTAATTATTGGATACATATTTTAATTCGCTTCTTAACTAATATTGTCTTAATTTAAACTACAAAGTATTAATTTTTGATTTGGGATACTTTAATTGAAAGAAAATTTGCCCAAGTGAAACGGTTTGTGCCACTGTCGACGCCCCCAACATCGATTGTTTGTAGCTTATGTGCAAGTGTTGTTTTCATTTTCTTATTTTCGGTCAGTAGATTGTGTAAAGTGTTTGTTACTGCATGATCTTTATTCTGCTTTTTAAGTAATTTTCTTAAGCAGTTCGTCGGGGGGGGGTCTGGGGTATGACTATTGAATGTCTTTGCGTTTATTTTTATTTTTTCAATAACATTGGCATATTTCTTAGTAACCAATTCAGCGAATCAGCTCCAAACATTAAATGAACTTGTAATAATATCATAACTTGGGGGATAATGGATTGAAAGATTAGATAAATCAGTGTTTTATTTATTTTATGGAATACATCAATCTCGGAATACTTTATTACACCTTGATTTCCCCCACCATCTGTTATCACCTTTGTTATTCTCAGTGTATTTTGCATTGCTACTATTATTTATTCAGCATTAATACAAAGAAAAGAAAATCTTTATCCCAGCTGAAATAAAAAATCAATTTTGTCCAACCAGAAGTATTATGTACGATGCTAACAGGTAAACTGCCATAGTGTAATACAAAAAAAATGTAGAGAATTTTTGTTTTTGGAATCTCAAGCATTGACATTCTAAAAACTTCCCCTATTAAATACTAATTGTATTCCTTTCTGACAATATACAGGATGCTTGGTGTTTCCCATTTGAATTTAACACTTGTATTTCACAACATAATAGTTTTTGCACAACTTTCTGACAGTATTTTGAGTGAGTTCTTAACTGATAGTGCTTTTTTATTTTTAGATACATTTGAATTCTACTTGTATATGAAATTCATGTTTCATTAATGACTAAATGTCTTGAACTGATTTCATATTTTTATTTTAATCTATCTGAAACGGTCTACAATAATTTATATAATCACTTCGTTTTTGGATATTCTTGAGTTGACTATTCAGTACTATTATCGTTATTTCTTTTTAGATTTTAGTTTTGTACAAAAGAGCTGAAAGATTTTTGGGTTTTACGACTTGATTTGCTTAAAAAATATTCTATCTTTAGCTTTTTAACATGGACAGAAATTTAATGATAGTTTCAACATTCTACTTTTAAAAAAAAAAAAAAAAAGTTATAGAGTTGACATGAAAAGTGTTGCTTCATTTTTAGGCGCACCTGTTTATCAATCAGTTAAAAAAATCCACCTAGTGAAAGATAACTTTCACAGCTGTAAATAATCCTTGAAATTACTTATAGCAAACTATATATTTTTCCCTTTTTTATATTTAGTTATTTTTTCTTTTATTTTATAATTGATACATTTTTAATTTTGGTTTTTAATCTACAGCAATGAACACACTGAGGCAAAACGATATAGATCAAGGACTGCCGGAAACAGGTATTTGATACATCTTAATATTCGCAGAAGTATTAAAATGATACTTTTATCTGATGTATTCTCATAAAGAATGCAATCATTTTGAAAAATGTTTTCACAGGGATGTGGGGAAATGTTAAGGACTTTTACTTTTTCTATCATTTTCTCTTTCCCCCTTTGACTTTTAAAAAAATGCTACGTCATGAATTTGGTCCCTTTGATAGAAAGGTGTGGTGAATGAAGCAAAATTATTATGCATGTCATGAGTTTAAACCTGTTCATTTTTGCATTGGGCATGTTAGTTTCTTGTTCTAAAATAAGTTCTCTTAGTTTGTTCCAGATTCTTTTGGAAGGGGTTATTGACAAAAATAAAACCAGGTTTTTCAAGTTACTTTGAGGAATAAAAAAAATAAATAAAAAAATAAAAATGCTATTCACATTAGGTTTATTGTAATCTCCTTATCTACTTGCTGTACATTTATGAAAAAAAAAAGCTAACATGCCTAAAGCTTGCAGTTTTTTCTACTGCATTTACTAAGTCTCAGAAGTTATAAGGTACTTTCAGTTTGAAGTGGCTCTAAGGGGTGAATATTGAGGATCTAATTTATGCAAATAAAGTTCCATAGAACTGTAAGATTTTAGTTTGTAAATTTAAGAAAAAAACCATTAATGATCAGTTGTGATTTAGATTGATCCTCTCTTTTTGTTCACCACTTAGATATCTACAAATTGTGTTATGAATCATTACCTTTTAACTTCTTGAAACAAGATTTTATAAATTGAAATATTGGCTTAGCTTGTACTTTTTAAAATTTGTATTTGTGATAAACTCAGTTGGAATGATATCGTAGTTTGTGTGTACCCTGGCAGTTCACATATATTTGAAAATATGCTTGGCTATTATCAGTTTATAATTTCTCTAAAAATGTTGAATTTTGTATGAATTCCTGAAAATGAATCTTAACATGTATAGGAAAATGTTCTATTGGAATCTGGTCTGTAACTTTTCTATTCTAAAAATTTACAATTTTCTCAGTCCCTAATATTTTAGCTTAAAATCTATGCTTGACTTTTACTTTGTATTAAGAACCGAAGACTTTGGTTCATATTTAAACTTTTCTAGCTTTTTAAAGTTGCTATCAGTGCATACCTAGGCGTGTTTGCACTTTTAGTGAATTGATAAATTAAGGGTAAAGAAAGCTGGACATTTCATTCTTGGAATGTTTTGTGTTCTTTTCTTAAAATGTGACTATGATATTTCTGTAATGAATTCATTTTCATATTTTGGAAATACTATTTCAGTCACCCAAATTAGCATTATTGATTATATATATATATATATATATATATATATATATATATATATATATATATATATATATATATATATATATACACACACACACACACACACTTTCATATATACATGAAGGAATGCTGAGAACTTCTTAGTGTGATGTACTTTTCAAAATCTGACCTTTCAGATCTTTGAATCCTTAGTCAAACTAAGAATTTTTCAATATCTCCTTGTATACATACGCACACACACACACACACACACACACACACACACGTGTGTATGATAAAAATAAGGAATATCTGCATCACTTTAGCAAACAAGATTTGCTGAATGGCAAAAGAAAATTTGCATACAGATGCAAAAGAAAATTTTTAGATTCATAATATTGCATTTTATTATCCCATTCGCATGATGTATTTTTTTTTTTTTTTCTCTCTATTTGTTTAATGTTTAAGCATGGTGGTCTTCTGTTTGACTGATAGTCTACAAAAATGCAGTATTTTCTATTTTACAGATATCTGTATTGTTTTTTCTTTTTTTTGTTTTTAAGCTTACAGTTATTTTAATATTTTTACATTGTATTAAAATTGTTAATTTCATTGCTTTTTTTTTTTTTTTTTTTTTTTTTTTCTTTTTTTTTTTGTTTTTGTTGTTTTTCGGTTTTTGTTGTAAATAAATCTGCTGAGTAAGTTAATTTTACTTCAGGGAAACTGAATTTCTCTATTTTTACCTCCCACCTGCAGCAACCCATCCTCTACTTGCTGCTTCCTATTATGTGCATGTATGTTTAAAGAGGATTTAATTAAAAAAAATTCCTGTTCTAATTAGGCATGAGATTTAGAACTGACATAGGTAGATCTGTATATGTCTACCTATATGTAGAATCAAAGAAAAAAAAAATCTAGCATAAGATCATCAGAATTTTTCAAATAATTTCTTGGTTTTTTTTAGCAATGAACACAATGAGACAGAATGATATAGATCAAGGAACACTGGAATCAGGTATTTGATGTCTTAATATTCACAGGAGTGTTAGAATGAAAGCTAGAAGCTGTTCCTCCATTCTCTAAATTATCCATTTCATAGCATCCCTTTTTTATTGCTTTAAATTAGTTAATGAAATGATGGATTTTTTTATTTTTTTATTTATTTATTTTATTTTATTTTTTTTTTTTTTAAGCAAATTATCTAGTTTTGATAATATAAAGAATACCATCTGCCTCATTTTCAATTAGTCTAATCTGCACTAAACTTTTACAACAATCACTTTTCTATGTCCCCCATTCTCCTTTTCACTCACTGTAGATTAGAAAGGATATCAAATGTTTTTCATTTTATGGTTATTTTAAAATTGCACAATCTGGTTTGCAAGATTTTTTTGGCTTGAAATATTTTCAATACTGATTTTTAGTTTATCAGTTTTACAATTTGTTCCAATTTTTAATAAATTTTGGACTGTATTTAGATCGACTTCTGGATTCTTTTCATCTCTCACTATACAAAGTGTGTGCATTGTCTGGTCCCAACTTAGATGAGAAATGAACTATTTTAGATGGCCAACAGCCATATTCCTAAGTAATAAATTTGATAAAAAGTATCTTAATTCTCAAGGAATTGTTATTCATTTTTCTCTTAACTGTTCAACTGCAAAAATAAAGTGAGACATTTACTGAAAATTTAGAAGCTAAAAATATTGAGCGATTATTACAAAGGGTACATAAAATTTCATGTTAAATTCTTGTAAATTTCATGCTAATATTTTAGCATATTGTCACTTTAGGTTTATATATACTGGTAAATTTTATTAAATAATCGCATGAACATTTAATTCTCAAAATGGTACATCAATTTCGCTAAACATGATCCCTTTGCTATCTTTCTATCTGCTGGTAACCCTTTTAACAGTAGTCTTATGTGAGCAAATTAACTTTTCTTTTCTCTTTTTTTATGTTGAAAATAAAATAAATTTTCTTCACTTAGTTCTTTGCCTTTATTAAAGTTGCAAATTTTCTGCTACAATTTAAGTTTTCTTTTAGAAAGACTCAGAGCAATAGCTTTTTGTGTTATGTAAGTTATGCATGTAATTTTTATGTATACTTATTTAAATTATATGAAGTTGAAATTTTTTATTAATTATGCCTTATCTGGATTTTAAGGTTTTAACTTGAGATTATACTTCAGAAAATTACTTGTCTGACAGGCTTTCACAGAATCTGTATGCAAAATAGTTTGAAACTTGCTAATGTGTTAAATTGCACTTATGTTAATGTATATACATTATGGTGACTCGAAATATTGTTTCTTGAATAAATTAAATTTTAGATGTTAATTATTAACACTGATTAAAGTTTCGTAAATAAAGTCTGGCTGTTTCTATTTTGACTATGAATTGGTATGTTATGGAAATTTTAGATGGGCGATTTCTTTTCTTTTTTTTTCTTTTTTTTCCCCATTGTAATACCTTCACTTCTAGATTTTAAAGTGTTTTTCATTCAATTGGGTAGATATTTCCCATTTGTATTTAAAGTAAGTCTATTTGTTTGCTTGCTTAACATGGGGCTCATCATACAGTAACTTAATTAGTATGTGATATTTATCCATTCTTATGTATTTTAATTGCTTGAAAGAAGTGTTTTTATCTTCAAATCTGATATCATTCATGATTCAGTTGTAACTGTTTTTTTCCCAGATATTTTATATAATTTGTTAATTTTTAAGTGAGTTGATATTTTGAAATTTTTTTTTTATTTTAATTGAAATTTGATTTAATATTTTAACTAATCAGCACAGTCTGTTTAAGGCAAAGTATATTTCATATGTTAGTTTCAAAATTAAAGATTTTCATCTAAAATTGTTTTCTAAGATTTTGTTGGTATTCTGAAACATTAATATTATTCTGTTTTCAGGTCAAAGTTTAGGGTATGGATTTGTTAACTACAAATACCCTAGCGATGCAGAAAAGGCTATCAACACCTTGAATGGATTAAGATTACAGAATAAAACAATAAAGGTAGGTAATGACAATAACCAAAAAGCTGGGTATATGCACATTTGGTTTCTGAAATTTGACATTGATTTAACCCCTTAGAATTGATATTGTAGATAATGAGTCTAAAAACTTCTTCAAACCTAAACTATTTCTTGGAATATATAAGTTTACACTCCAAGTCCAAACATAATTATAGTTGGCTGATGTAAAGAATTTTGACTTTTTAATTTTTACTTTTATTATGCTTGAACTCTAATTGACATTGCTGCTAAATAACTTTTTGTTTGTTTGTTTTTTTTTTTTTTCTTTTTTTTTTTTTTTTTTTTTTTTTTTTTTTTTTTTTTTTTTATTTCTCTTTTTTCTCTTTTGTTGTTTTATATTTTTAAGACTCTTTGTTAATTTCAGGTTTCATATGCCCGACCAAGCAGTGAAAGCATTAAAGGGGCAAACTTGTACATAAGTGGCTTGCCAAAGTCTTTCACTCAATTGGACTTGGAGAAATTGTTTTCTCAGTGTGGATTCATAATAACATCCCGAATTCTTTATGACAATAACACAGGTACTGACTGGGGTTTTTATTAACCACCTTCACTAATTATTTTTAGGTGTCATATGCAAGACCCAGTAGTGAAAGTATTAAGGGAGCTAACTTGTATATATGTGGGTTGCCAAAGTCAATGACCCAGCAAGATTTGGAGCAGTTGTTTTCGCTGTGTGGGAAGATAATTACATCTAGAATTCTTTATGATAGTAATACAGGTTAGAGTTTTAAATTTGTCCTCTGCTTGCTTAAATTGAGTTTCTAACGTGCACTGATAATTTGTCTGTTTTGTTGCTTTTCTTTTTCTATTTATTTTTTTACCAAATCTGAACTTGCCATTTCTTAAATTGCATGAAGTTTTGTTTTGTTTCTTGCAAGTTGGATGTAAAGGTTTCAGTGCATGATTTACAATTAAATTTTATCATTACATAGAAGTTCACTGAAAAAAATTAACAAAATGGCTCTGAATAGTCTTTTGAATCAAGACTTCATATTTTGGCACCTAATTAAGGCATCCTCCCGCTTTTGCTTCCTATTCTAATCCAACTTTGTCAAATCTTGCCTTGTATGGTGGCTTTTAATGATAAACAAGAAACCATGTGCATGCCTGCTGTCATTGAAAATGGCGCATGTTTGTGATAGTGATCTTGCCTATTCAGATTGACCATGCACAACTCTCAATGGATTATCTGCTTCCATAACTAATGTCCCACTTCATTACCAATTTCAAGTCTTGCTTGACATTCTTAAAACCTAACACTACTCTTAGTTTCTTTTTCTGTTATTAATTTTATAATTTTCTTGTAGTTAACTCTACAGATTATCAGTTGATTAAACAGATCTTTGAGTTTATTTTTAGTCTCATTTTCAGTTTCTTTTTTTTTTTTTTTTTTTTTTTTTTTTTTTTTTCTGCATTTTTATTGGATATTGAGCAATGAATATGAAGTGAACTTAAAACTGATAATTTAAAAAAAACAAAATATTGATTTTATTACTTTTTAGGAATTGTAATATATTAAATCTTTGGATTTTCTTAAAGGCTAGTAAAGCATGGACAAGTCATCTGAAAATGCTTAGATAATGTACATTCTATTTCTTATGGTTTTCTAATGATTTCAACAGCAAAATCACCCATTCTTCAGGTCTCTTTTGGTCTCCCTCTTCAATATTCCCCCTCTCTGCCTACACTTTCAGATTCTTTTTCAACCTCCTCCCACATTATTTCTGAGTCTGTTTCTGTCCTCCCATCCTGTCTCTTTTTGTGTGTGTGTGTCTCTCTTTACCCCCCGCCCCAACGTCTTTCTGTATCAGTCTCGCTGCCTGCAGACTTTGCAAGTCCGTCTGTGCTGTTTGTTTGCATATGTTTCTCTCCTATAGCTAACATGGCTTTTCTTTCATCCGTCTCCCCTCCCACGCCCAAGATTTTCAGCCTGTTTCTGCTAAAATACCACCACCCCCTTTTTGCATCTGTTTATCCTTCTCTCTTTGTGTGTATGTCTATCTCAATACCTATATATTAAACCTGCTAAAAATTAAAGTTCAACTGTTTTCCTCACTTCATGGATTATTGTCAATTAGCAAGACTTGAATTTGTCTTTGAACAGTCCCTCAAAGTAAAATATTACAATTTAATATGAAACTGTACTGAACAACACAGCCTAATGCTGCTTTAATAAGTATACATGCTTTGAACTTTTTTATTAATGGGTTCTGAAATAGTTCATTTTGCCAAGTTTTGTTTCCAATTTATTAATTCACTTTTATTTAAAATTAGTTTTTTTTTCTTCTTCCTCGTTTAAGCATTATGGAATTTTTCCATTTTGTTTAAATCATTTGCAAGTATATCTGCAAATTAAAATCATTTTGCACCTTTTACACAAAATTCTCTATACAATTTATAATTAATGCCACCGTTAATTATATTACTACCTTCTGAAAATAAAAACTAAATGGTTTCTCTTCATATGTATTTTTAAAATGTATTTTAAATTATTTTTTTTGTAATGTTTTAGAAGAAAAATTCTTAATTTCTAAACTATTTTTCATGGTTAAAGCAATTGTTTTAAAATAGGCTGTATTTTAAAATCTTGAATAAATCGCTGATACTTTTTTTTTTTTTTTTTTTAACATTCTGTTTAAGTCTAGATTTTGGGCTGTTTTAAATTTCCCTGAAAGTACTTTCTCCCAACATAATTAGTTGCATTGCTTAGAAAATTTCCTATTAATAGCACATGAAATGTTCAAGGGATTTGTTTCTTTAAATGACTCTTGTAGGTAAGTTGGATTTGTTAGACATCATTTGCAAGTGGATAAAATCTGCTGAAATGAGTATGTTCAAGAAGACTTTCTGGCAATTTGAATTTAAAAAGTTTTTTGCTTTCCTCTCTGAAGCTAGTGAATGCTTTGACTATTTATTTCACATAGTTAAATCTTGCGTTTTCTTACTATTTACATGAAAACTGATTTCACCATTTGTCAGTTAAAATAAGAGTGAGGAGATGAAAACCTTGATATAGATATATATATATATATATATATATATATATATATATATATATATATATATATATATATCTGAATTTTTATATTTTTTATCTTTTGATTTTTAATATAAAATAAACATTTTATTCTTTTAAGGTTTTTTTGATAATTGTTTTTTGCATTTTTTTTTTCTTTTTTTTTTTTTTTTTTTTTTTTTTTTCTTTTGTCTAGGTTTATCAAAAGGTGTTGGCTTCATCCGATTTGATCAACGAATTGAAGCTGAAAGAGCCATTCAGAAATTGCATGGCACTATTCCTGAAGGAGCAACTGAACCTATTACGGTGAAATTTGCAAATTCACCAAGCTCAAATAAAAATGCTGTACCGCTAGCCTTGGCAGCCTCATACTTATCACCAAGCCGGCGAATTTTTGGTCCAATTCATCATGCTGCTGGAAGATTCAGGTTTGTCTCTTACACTCTAATGTAGCTTACTTTTGTTAAAAGGTTTTTGTCTAATTTCAAATATTACTCAAAGAACATAGCCTACTTCTTATAGATGAAAAAAATGGATGGGAGTTTTCATGGTAAAAACAATCTTTAGCTAGGTTCTCTCGGCCTATCTAAACTGGATTTTGAAATCCAATTTTTCATATGTAGCAATATTGGTTACCAATATTTGAAACTTAAGCTAAATTTATATAGTGCCTTTTCATCTCTTTATAAGAGGTAAGTTGGATCATTAACTTAATACATGAAATGCCACAACTACTTAAAATGTATTTTCTGAATATTATCATTTGATTTGTATTAAGTTTTTTAAAATGGTTAATTTTAGGATGACTTTTATGCCACTATCTTTGATCGTAGATTTTTTACATTTTCTTGTATTTTAATGCAAATTATTCTTACAAATTATTGTAACAGACTATTATTGAAATTCTTGTTTACCTTTTGAAACATTTCATGAAAAGATCACATGAAAAGTTAAAACTTTTTCTCAAACCTGAAAAATAGGTTGTATACTTTAACTGCAAATTGCTGCTTCTTCCTTTCTCTCTCTTTCCTTGATTTCTTATGCAGTTAATACTCATTGGTTTTCCATATTAATAGATGCCTATAATATCATACAGTCAGTTTGACAACTAGGTTTACTTAATAACTTAACACTATCTTTTTGAAAGTCTCTTCTATCCCTGATTCTAGTTCTGATTGACATCTACAAATATTTGACTTTTACACATGAAATTGAAAAGTATTAGTGCTTGAAATTTATCTTCTCTTTTCACTATGCTTTATGCTATATTCTGGCAGTTTTCTATACATTTTGACCAAAGGTTTTACTTTACCCATTTGCAGGTATTCACCGTTGGAAGCTAGTCTACTGCCAGGAACAATACTTCCAGGAAATGCTCTAAATGGAACTGGCTGGTGCATTTTTGTATACAATCTTGCACCAGATACTGAGGATGATGTATTGTGGCGTTTATTTGGTCCATTTGGAGCTGTGCAAAATGTAAAAGTGATCAGAGATTTCCAGACACAAAAATGCAAAGGCTATGGGTTTGTTACAATGACCAATTATGAAGAGGCATTGATGGCAATACAGACACTCAATGGATTCTTACTTGGCACACGGGTGCTACAGGTATCATTCAAAACGAATAGTCGCAAATCCTAAGACATGAAGAAGAAAGTAACCTGATGGACCCCTAGTCAGAGATGTGGTCATAGATGTGGACTTTTTTGCTGGTGTATTCCATGCCATATGGCCTAAAAGTCATCAGCCATATAAGGCATAAGAGATTATTTAAAATCCAAACACCATAACTATTCTGGAAGTGAAAGCCATTTGTGTTCATATCAGCATAATTTATTTAATTCTGGTATATATTATTTTGACTTATTTAATGACTTTGTCCCATAGTTTAACTTAGTTCAGCAAACAGGCAGATTGGTATTTTGTTTGTTTGTTTTTCTTTCTTTCTTTTTTTTTTTTCTTCTTTTTTTTTCTTTTGCATTATTTATTGTTTTCCAAAGTGTTGCATCACTAGTTGTCAGTATTACAGTTTCATTTTGTTATTTCCATCTTTCTTTCGTTATTTTGTGGCTCACTAATTTATCGTTATTAAATTTTTTTTCATTATTTTGTCTGGTTTGTTGCTTTTTCTTTTATTGCATGATGCTTTTTGACTAATAGTTTGCTTCTTATTTTTTCTTTTTTTTTTTTTTATTTTATTTTTTTTTAATTTTTTTTATAGTGAAGCTGCTTTTTTATTTTTATTTTTTATCTTTGTTTGAGAGGAATTGTTTGCTTCAGTAAATTATTTTATTTATTTACTTTTTTTTTTTTTTTTTTTTTTTGATCGATATTCATGTCTGTATAAATTTCCTGTGTAGTGATTTGACATTCAAGTTTGGTGAACTGTGACAGTCCATATAAGTTTACTAATTACTTACATTGACTTTTTGTTCCCTTCCTCCCCCTCCCTTTTGATATGTGCAAAATGTGATCTCATTAACTTAACTGGCTGACCACATCCAGTGACATTTTATTGTAATTTTATCTATTTCATCCTCATGAAAATGATGCATGACATAAAAACTATTACAGCTGCTACCATGACATAACTTGATATTAATCTTTTAGCATTTTACTTCTACATTAGCTAAACAATTAAGAACTTCAAGAGGGCTCAACCAAATTAACAGAAAACCTGAAGAAAGCAAATTAAAGCAAGAAACTGTAGGGAAGTATTGTTCTGCTCCTCTAGTTACTGGCTCCAATATATCAGGATATTCCCATTATGCTGTCATCTGGCATCCGTCCATAAGAACTTCTGAAGAAAACCCTTTTTTTGGCTGACTGTCAATTTATGAAGATTGTCTTTCATAGGACACGTGTGGACACGTACACAAGTTTAATAGTTATTTTTCATTGGGGGTAATTTTCTTCTAATCAACACTGTCTAACACACACACACACACACACAGTTCATTAGCTCATGGTCCCTCTATTTATATTCTCATGGCTATTTTGATACCCAAAATTTGTCTTAGTTGGGGTAAGGGAAGTATCCTTTCTAAAAATATCAGGAATGATATTTATTCTTTTGAAATACTTCTAAACCTCAAATTTGTTACTGCCTTAGTTAATCAACCACAGCTGTAGCCACTTTGGCTTATTGGATGGAATAATCAGATGTCTTAAGATTCTATTAGCTCTTTGAAGTTTTAATTTGTTACTGTTCATCTGATAGAGGGATACTCATGGATATAACCATTTAATTTTGTTAACTGATCAGGATATGCTTTATACATGCATATACCATAAACATGCAAGTTCCAAGCACTTTATTAATGTTGTAATGAAGATTTATATTTGGATTTAAAAATAACATTAAAGTTTTGTTTATTGGCAAGTGTTCAATCAAAACAAAAATATTCTTATGGAGTAGTAATATAAGGACAAAAGAGAATAGTCCATATTTTGAAACATCTTTTGAGTGATCACTCAGGGAATTGGCTGTCCCGTTAGAGGAAAAGAAACCAAACTCACTTCTCGCATTCCAAAAGTCAAGTAGCCACTATTTGGTTACATCTTTTAACTCTAAATTGATGTTTATGCTTTTAACAAGTTTCGTACATACACAGAACTACTTCCCTTATATTTGCTGATGACAATAGTTTCTAGGTTCTTCATGACAATGGTTTGAACTCTGATTTTTAACTTTTTGCTTCTTGAAGTATTTAAATTTAAATTATGCTAGTTACCTTAATGTTGCTGTATCTAGACCAAAGCCATATACTTTTCACTTTTTCTAATATCCTGTTATAATTTCACTTTAAAATTTGTATTTGTTCTAGGATGTACTGTTTAGTCCCTTTTTTTAATTTAATAAGGATGACTTTCTATGCACCTAGTCTGATACAATGAAAAAAAAATGTCTGAATAAGAGGGGTTTCTATTTTGTCATTTACTTACATTTTTTTTTATTGAATTTTCTTGCAAGAGTAATTTAATTTCACATAGCTGATCATTATATTTAACTTGGATATTTCAATTTTAATGGTGGTTCCAATGAACATGTTGCTTAAAACCTGGTCTCTTTTTGAGCTGTTCAGGTGCTTGCTTCTTATTTTTATGTTTTTCTTTATTACATAAAAATCTTGACTCTTAGATTTGAGAATGTACACCACACAGAGCTTAGCAACTTTTTACATTGGCAATGGTGAAAAAGGATATGTTTTTTTTTTTTTTTTTTTTTTCCTTAATATTTAAAATTGCTGCCTGATTGAATTCTGGATAAAGATTTTTTTTTCCCCTCCCAAATGTTTGAGTTAAATTTACTCTGAACATTTTTTCTTATTTATGCTAAAAATAAAATAGTCTTTGGGTTTGATTATAAACTAAAAAGCGCCAGCTTTTGATTAGCGCCTTCTTTAGCAACACTCATGGCAAAAATTGTCTAAATTTTCTATTGCCACTGGAAAAAAAGTGCTGCCTTCTTGCTGAAAGATGCACTTGTAATCAGTTATTTACATTTTATGATCAGTCTAATTTTTCTTTAATATTGTTGAATTTAAATGATTATGCAAATAGATTGTTGAAATATTGCTGATATTCTGGAGAGAGAAAAAAATCACATTCTATGATTACTTAATTCCCAAATCAGTGGTTAATATTTCATGCCTTCAAATATCAACCTGATATCTGTCCTCTTGCTTGCATAACCTCTGCAGCTTCACAGGTCGATGAAAAAGCTGTTTTCCTGTAATCTGCTGGCAATATTTTTCTATGAATTCAATGAGGAAACAATACGCAGCAAGATAACTTACCATATTCTACATTACTACGCCATTTATAGAATAACTATGCGTTTAACCCCAATTCCTTTGCTTCAAAAAAAAAAAAAAGCAAAAAAAAAAAAGCAAACTTTCCTTTGTATGAAAAATAATCTTTTGATAATTTTATGCCATACATCATTTTCTATAGAAGCATTTGAAATACTTTGCAATGCACATAAACACTTCTTTATATTGAGCTCTAATCCACTTAGTGTTAATGACTTGTTTCTTAAAATCCTGACCATTTATTACATGGATTTTTTTTTTTCTTCTTTTTGTTTGTTTGTTTAATTCTTTGATCCTTAGAAACATACTGAAAAACTTAAAAAGTAAAAAAAAAAAAAAAAAAAATTGCAAAAAGAAGCCTGCTTTGATTGTAAGTTTGACTGTTTACCTTCTTCAATCTTATTGTTTTAATTGAACATATCAGCACTATCTTTGAAACTTTCCTGGGGAATTATATGCATAAGGCGAAGAATAACCAGCAGACAAGCCCTTTGTTAGCCAATCGTGAGTGAAAACTGGTTCAGCTTTTTTAGTTGTGCTTAATATTTGACTGTAGCATCGATCTGAATTGCTGACCAAAGTTGGTGGCATGGTTGTCAGCATGGTTGGCTTTATGGGAGCTGTATGAAGAGTGAAAGAACTACTCAAAGGTTTGTCAAACTCACATGGACAAAACAACCAAAGATCTTCCATTTTTAAATGATGATTTTTACAACCTATTCAATTTTACTAAGGTCAACATGAATGTAAATATATATACAGACCGAGCGAAATTGAGTTAACAAAGGGTGGAATGAGTTTGTTACACACTATATCCGTCATGGACATCTGCTGTTACAAATTTTTCTGTAAAAATCCAAACATTCCTGGAATAGAATTTACTTTAAACTGACTGCACTTGACAGTGTGCAACTACTGAACCTCTTTGTATATAATACTGGTCTTCAGAGGTTGATATTATAAAAGAAATATTCTGCTTTAAAAGGGAACAAAAAGCTGTAAAATTACCTTAAAATATTTGATGAACGTAATTCCAGTTTGTAAAGTTTTTTATACCTAATTGAATATATGTTTGGAGAATATATTTGCTCACTTTTGAAGAGCACGAGTTTTCGCAAAACAAATTGTTGGTCTGATGTTGAATTGTGTATTGTTCTATTTTATGAGCCACAATTCAGGCATTGGTGTTCGTTACAATACACCCAAATCCCCTATTCCCTTTAAAACAAACTTTTGATCAAATGTTCTACAAGATTTTTTAAAAAAGAAAAAAAGAAAAAGATATGCAAAATCTCCTTTTTAATGTGGAGAAAATGTGCTGAAGGTGATCTCAATTTGTTAAAAAAGGTAAAAAAAAAAAAAAAAAAAAAAAAAAAAAAAAAAAAAACACCCTCACCCCCAAACTAAACATGCTGACATTTGTTCGTTACCCAGCTGCACACAACAGCAGCTGTTCATACCCAGTGCTGTTACGTGTTGTCTGCAACATCTTACTTGATACTCCATACCATACAGTTTTAAAGAGATTCAGTAATGAGTAAATGAGTTTTAATTATTTGACATTTGTTGCATTTTTGTATTAAAGTAAACAAATTTTCCAGGTCCCACCGTCTATATATATATATATATATATATATATATATATATATATAATATAAAAAT